CACAGCTAACAGCAAAACAGAAGTAGCTCACTTAAAAGTGAAAAAGCTTACTTACAATATTAATGCAGCTAGTCCAGACAGTCCTGTTCATCGTCCTCATTAACTCCCATAAAAAAAAAAAGTTTTTAAAAAAGGTGTCCCGATCGTCCAATAGGCCTTAGTCCTGACATGAGACCTCCACCAATCAAACGCAGGAAAACATCAAAGTTCAACCATCATCTTGAAATAAGATATAAAGAGATATAAAGATATAAAGAGAAACTCATTTCAGACACTTGCGATTCCATTTGAGCTTCATTGAAATCACAATGAGCTCTTCATGAGGACAGTTCTTTAAACTGTATGTTTGCTGACATAGGATGCGTGAAGTCAGCAGCAACAAAAAAATGATTTTGAATGGTAAGGTCTCCATCTACTAGTATTCCTTTGAACAGCAACAGAGACACATTTAGTCATGTCCAGTTTATTTATATAGTACGTTTGAAACCGCTTCACCAAGTGCTTTACAGAAAATGAATGAAAACACCAACAAAGAAAGACATTTAAGATGAGGGAAAACAATAATAAAAAACCTGTGTACATATATATATATAAATAGAGAGAGAGAGAGATGTATGTTTGCTGAGATAGGATGCATGAAGTCAGCAGCAACAAAAATGTGATTTTGAATGGTAAGGTCTCCATCTACTGGTATTCCTTTGAACAGCAACAAAGGAATTCTTCTGATTTGAGTGATCTCACATGAAGTAGTGCCAACTTAATCGGTGTATCTGGGATGGAAGAGGTGTTTGGGGGTTAGAGTCGTCAGGGGAGGTGGGGGTGTGAAGAGAGGTGCTGGGGGGGGCAGACACTAGCTGCAGTGGCCTGCTGGTCAAAGCTGTTAAAAAAACAGGTTGAGCTGGTTTGCTCTCACAGGGTCCCCATCTTCTGTGTTGTTACCTTTCTTCTTGCAGCCTGTGATGGTTTTCACGCCCTCCCAGACCTCTCTCGTGTTGTTGTTCCGCAGCTTCTTCTCCACCTTCCTTCTGTACTCCTCCTTTGCCTCTCTGAGCCGGACCTTGAGTTCCCCCTGCACGCGCTTCAGCTCTGCCTGCTCTCCTTCCTTGAATGCCCTCGACATTAATCCAGGGCTCGTTGTTCGGGAAGCAGCGCACAGTTTTTGTGGGAACTACAACATCCATACAGAAGTTCATGTAGTCAGTTGTGCAGTGTGTGAGACCCCCTCAATGTCCTCACCGTGTGGCTCTTGCAGGGTGCTCCAGTCAGTCCACTCAAAACACTCTCTTAGTGTCTCCACTGCCTCAGGAGACCACTTTGTGAAGGTGCCTCTGAATCTGTGGCTTGTACTTTGGGTTAAGAAGGAGCAGGTTGTGATCAGACTTCCCTAGTGGTGGTCGAGGGACGGCAGTGTAAGCTTCCAAGTCCTAGTTAAACTAATACAGCCTAACATGACAATCCCCCTCCAACTCCTTGTAGGCTGCAATGGTCACTTTTTCTTACACTTGTTTAGGGAGAGAAACGCTATAGCTGTAAAATACAGCTTTTTATCTTGTAGCATGTCTTTCACATTGGCTCTTTATTCATCTGGTGCTGATTCTGTTTTTGCTCATTCATATTATCTCCATCAGTTTAGCCAAATTAGAAATGATCTTGTGTCACCTTACCTGGATACTGACTATGACCATTCCACTGGAGCCTCCTATGGTACAGTAAATGGGGTGAAATGTGGTCTTTAAAAAGAGTAAAGAATTGATGAATATGGACACGTTTGCTTTGGCCTGTCGGGGTGAGAGACAGTAGGCCTAGTCAAAAAGATGTAAAACAATGATGTGCTGGTGCGACACACATTTATTGATAGTCACATTGCATCACATTAAACCCCACTTGAAAAGAAATGAAAGAATAAAGCTGTCCCAAAACAAAACGTCTATGCTAAAAGAGAGGAATACAAGTCAGATAAAACATGGGAGAGTTAAAAGTGCAGCACTTAAAACGTATGAGCCTAAAAGTCAGTTCCAACAAACTAAAAGAGTGAGGGAATTGTCCCGATCGCCTGCTGCTTCCCTCGCAGAGTCTCCTCTAGTGGCTCGACACGTACACACGCTGCAGGACGGGCACTGCCGAAACAAGAAAATACCGGCAGTATTGTGCCTACACACACAGCAACGCCGTACTCCTAAAAGCAGAGTGTTACTACTGTCCCAAAGGGATAGGCTACTTACGCGGCTTGCGGAGCTCCTCACTCTGCCGCTGCGTGTATTGCGCGTCGTAACACTCTCTCTTCGGTGTCGACTGGCTGGCTCTCTGTCTCGGCGTCTCTGTGTTCACCCTCCCCTTGGCCGCTGATTGGACATCGCGGCTCTGCTCTTGCTCCTCATTGAGCAGAAAAAGTGTCAATGAAATAAAAGAAAGCTGCACATGAGCAGCTAATCTGTCATCACTCACACGCACCAAGGCACAAAGTGAACTCATTGTAAAAACATGCACATCGGGCAATCGATAAGAAAATCCTAAATATCACAACATGAATTAAAGGCAAAATATATATAAAAAAAAAAAAAAGAAACATGCGGAAAAGATTGTCAATATATGAATGATAAAAGCAAAAACAAATAAAAAATCACGCAGTGCCGAGTGAGGTGTCTTGCTGAGGGACACTACGGCTGTCGATCTCTCAACCTTGATGTTGAGAGTCGAGCGCCCTACCTACCCAGCCACGGCCGCCCCGGCGAAATTGACAACGTCGACAATAAATTTATCTTTTCAATTTGTACTATTTGACAAAAACGCCGAGAATTACAGTCAACGTTGCCACAAAAAACATTTGTATACTAAAACAAACACTTGAGCTGTGAACAAATGCAAATAACCTCAGCATTCATTGAAAATAACTCCTTTTCAGTTTCTACGGAAACAGCCATAGGCTACATGAAGCTAGCCTGCTAGCAGTTAGCCTACATTCTAGGAAGCCTTTGTCCACACAGCTAACAGCAAAACAGAAGTAGCTCACTTAAAAGTGAAAAAGCTTACTTACAATATTAATGCAGCTAGTCCAGACAGTCCTGTTCATCGTCCTCATTAACTCCCATAAAAAAAAAAAGTTTTTAAAAAAGGTGTCCCGATCGTCCAATAGGCCTTAGTCCTGACATGAGACCTCCACCAATCAAATGCAGGAACACATCCAAGTTCAACCATCATCTTGAAATAAAAGTAACAAAAAAAAGAGTCCATAAAAGGCATGCAATAAACACTAAAGATGTGAAAAATGAATGAATAAAACGTGTAATAATGACAGTAAAGAGGGGGAGGGGGGCACATCATGATCAAAAATGTGCAGGAGACACAAAATGAACCCATAGATGCCAAACCAGCACAAAGACAGAATATGAACTTCAAAGTGACACAAAGCCGCTTCATTATGTTAGCCTGTGGAAAATGTATGTGCCTACTGGAAGTGACTGTTAGTGTTGCATACTAAGATGGTAATTAGCCTACAGAAAGTGATGTTTTGTAACACAAAAGGACCTTGACACTTGGTGAAACTGTCTTCCCGGATGGAATTGTCCGTACCAGGTGTTTCCATTTTATCTGAGCATAGCCACATTGGGTGCGTCATCACTTGGTAACTATTAGTGTATAGAGTAGGCTACAGAGAGGGACGGTCCTTCTCTGAGATTTGCTGTCACTCGCACTCTGCAGCTCTGATCCTTCTACTTGCAAGGGAATAGTAAAGGACAAAATGTGACTGAATGACTCAAAGATCTCTTGTTCAAACTCTCTTTTTGATACTAAACAAAAAGTGATGCAAAACGACTACTCAAGACAAAAAGATTCATCCTAACTAACCTTTCCCTCCGAAGTTTCTGAACCTTGTTGTGAATATTCAAGCGAAAATCATGCTGCAGCAACTAGTTCATGGGGATAATAATAATGTTCCAGTGTTATTCTTATCAGTTAATCATTATTCTGACATCATATATATATAAGCTATTGTTCCATGTGTAATGTAAATTTCTCTTCACTCGGTGTTGTAGGGAAAGTCCTTCTCATTATGACATGGAAGGTGGAGCGAATCAGCCGCCTCTAGCTACTCAGGTGAAGTGCATCAATCTCTAAGCTGCCCCTTTATTACAATCTGCCACTTCCACAAAATCTCATATGAGATGAGATGTGGCATTTATGGCATGCTAGAGTTATTAATGCAGCCTCCTTTGCATGGACTACAACAGATGTGATGCGGGACTTAAAATGCATGGTCCAAAGTGTTAAATGTCAGTATGTTACATTTTGAGCGTCACTGTATTGTTATTTTTTCAAGAGAAAGTCATTTCAGACACTTGCGATTCCATTTGAGCTTTCATTGAAATCACAATGAGCTCTTCATGAGGACAGTTCTTTAAACTGTATGTTTGCTGACATAGGATGCGTGAAGTCAGCAGCAACAAAAAAATGATTTTGAATGGTAAGGTCTCCATCTACTGGTATTCCTTTGAACAGCAACAAAGACTCGTTTCATTTATATATAGATATATAATTGAGATAAGATATACTCTTATGATTTCCTATACGGGTAAGCAATTGTCTTAAATTAATAAACTTGTAAATTGTCTTTATCTGACTTCCATTCTGTGTGTGTGAAGAACTCAGCTATTAAAAACAACAGATTCCCAACTCAGTGTTTTCTTTCCATGTTGCAGACAGATCATCAGCCAAAGAAGTTTGTAATCAGTGTTATTAGTTATTAGCATTGTATTAATGTCCATGAGCCCCAGTGACATGTTTATTTTCTCTGATTTTGTAAAAAAAAAAATCTTGTCCTGTTAACAGATCAGTCCAAGATACATTAAAACCAATAAGTTCAGCTTGAATTTCTCAGGCTGGTTTTAATTTTTGCGATAATGCCTTTGACAAAAAAGAACAATACTTCTAAAGAAATCCTGACAGCTTGATTGTTTACGTTCCTTTCTCTTATTGTTGATTTAGAGTGAATACTGAATTGATTGACAGTAGAAGAGAAACATTTATTGCCAGGCAAAAAAACAAATAAGTTACATTTTTATACACCAACAGGTTTGCAACATTGGGTATCTTTCTGGAATAGAGCTGCTCCCAAAACACAAAGACAAGACCTTTTAATGTTACAAGTTGACCAACTTAAAGCAGCTTGAGCTCTTTGATCACAATACAGGCTTTGAGCTAGAAGTGATGACTGCCTTCATTTGACATTAAAAAAGGTGAATTAATGAATTTCTCAGTTATCTACCGCTGAACCTTTGTACAAATTGAGAGCTCATAGATTCAACATGTGATTTATAAATTCCTCTTCGGCAACAATGTGAGCACTGAAAAGTCAGCTAAGGAAAGATAAAAGTTGAATTCAGCAGTTAGTTCTGACAGAAAAAAAAAGACTTTACAAAACTGGTCGGACATTTAAGACTGGAAAGGTTTCATTATTTGACACTCAGTAGAGGGGCAGACCAAACCCCTCTGCCCACAGCTACATCACAACACTGGACTGACTAACATGGATACGTTAGTGGAGCTGAGATTGTGCATAAGGAGTAAAATATTCATCGCACCAGACGGAAATGCTGCTATGTGTTCCTGTGTGTCTCTGCATTTCATGCAAGAAACATTGCATCCTTTGTCTGCTCCTACCTCTAATTCAGGCCCCAACAAATAGTTTCTTTGTACTTCAAACTGACTTCATTACCTGTGTGAAGTATTCAAGCTTGATTTAAAATAAGTTCTGCACTGCATCTCCATTTGTGAGGCCTGTTAGAATCCAGTTCTAACAACTTGTCTCGTGTAACGTCTACTTTTACCGTCAAAATATGAAAGTACTTTTGATTTAAAACGACAAAGAGATGGTGTCTTATAGCCATATGACTGTCAAACCCTCAAGTGTCTTAGGCCGGAAAATGTGATCATGCATGTGTGTCATTGTTCTTCTGTTGAGTTAAACAGAATATTCCTTTCCCTGTCACTAAGGGAATGAAGAGACAATCTGTTCCTCTGTCTCCATCTCTGGCTTATAATTCATAACAGTGATAACCTCCTTTCCTAGTTGAAAACTAAAAGGTAATAAGTGAGAGAAAGATAAACCTCAGTTAAATAATTAACACAATATTTTTCTGCACAGTTGCATTTTTTCCCAAAAGTTGAGAGAAGTTGTTTAATGATTTCTAAGCTTTTGCAATGATGAAACATCTCTTCCTTCTAAACTATTGTTTTCTAGTAAAACCAACAAGGACGCCTTTGTGACAAAGGGCTCGGTTGAAGGTTTAAACAAGAGGAGGCTCAGAGGAATCAGAACAATGGGACTCTAAGTTTCCTTAATGAACGGAGAGCAATATGTCTGTCAGCTAACACTAACACATGTGTGGTGGTCCTCTCTCTGCTCCCAACATCCAGCTTTAGTAGTGAACTATATGTGTGGCTGACGAAAAGCAGTGTTGTGCCAGTGACTGCGTGGGGTTGTCACAGGGCTAGCTAAGGAGGTCAGGCTGCAGGTTGACCCTCTGCAGGACGTCCTCAGGCATGCACAGAACAGGATTCACCGGCTTTATCTGTTCGTCTCCAAGAAGAGAGAGACCTGCTACTCCAAACAGAGTGTGGAAAGGATCAACCTGCAGAGAAGAAGGGAGCAGCGGGGTAAAACACAAATTCCAACTTGGGTTGTAATCAAGCGCTGTAACTACACTGAAGTCGGTGGAAACAGCACGTTGAAAGGGCTGACAGTGGGAATGCTCCAAATAGGCTCGGCTTATTTCTCTGAGCTCAGCTTGTATTTGGATATGGAAAAAAAATCACCCCTCTGTAGAATTTTAAGCGATTGAGAAATTAGCTGTTGACTGAATTTTTTTTAAAAATTTTAACCAGGCTATAAACATGTTTATTTCTGCTGTAAAAATTGCATTTTAATATGGGCTTGATATGCATTCCTTTGATCTTGCGGACAGCTCCAAGTGGACAATGGAGGAACTGCAGTCCGGCATTGGATTCATTTTTCAACATCAGAGGTTGTTGCTTTGTTCTGTCTCACTCCTTCATAATCTCTGACGTTCATGTAAAACTAGGAAATAGTAAACCAGAAATATCATTTGCATATTTAATGCATAACCTTTATTTTTTTAGGTACATGTTTGAAACTATGAATTAATAAATAAATAAATTAGAAAATGGTCAAATCCACTCTCAACTTCTACTTCTTAATCTTTTCCTACTTAGCTTCTGCAAGGCTGTCTCAACCTGATACCTTCAACTGGATGATATGAGGAGAGAGACAGTTGATAGGATCAGTGAGATGCTGTTAAAATTACATAAGATAAATCAGGAAGCTGGATTTGCAGAAAAAAAAACAGTTAATAAAGGTTTCCTCTTTGATTTTATGCGTGCTGCAATTATCTGTGTTTGACAGCTCACCATGTCTCCTGGTCTGTCAGCAAAACCTCCTGTCTCCTCATCCTGACAGGCCAGAATAAACATCCGCAGCTTTGCCTTGTCGATCCAGTGGATCCTGCCGATGATTTTCAGCGACGCCAAAACCCACCACGAGTAGCAAACATCTGGAAGCTGAGAGAGACAGAGGCAAACAAAGCATAGTTGATATTGTGACAAAGTCATGGATTTCACTGGACAAGTTAGTCAATGATTGTTGTCATTTTGAGGTACCGATCAGAACCAGAACACTTGATTTATCACTGGGGGGAAACTCAGGCAGTGCTCTTATACAGTATAATATAGGAAATAGTGAATAGAAATTTGAATAAAATAAGAAATATGTATTAGAAATGAAGAGTAATGTACAGTGGAAATATTGCACAGAGTATTGCAGATTAATACAAAGTGCTCAGCAGCAAACAGCAGACAGACACAGTTAGCAAAGAGCCAGTCAAAACTGTTTTCAGAACTTTATATTGTTCAAGTAGATTTGCTGCAGTTCAAACTTTAAGCAGCTGAAATAAGTGTCATTGTTTCACTTCTGTGAAAGCACAAACCTTCTCTGGTCGTCCATTGAGGCCTCCAGACGGCAGCTGCCTCTCACAGAGCCACCAGCCCAGCAGGTCAGCGTTCACCTGGTGCAGCTGACCAGTGAGCGACAGGAAACCGGTGCAACAGTAAATCTGACAGAGAGAAGGGAGAAAACCATGCAATTGGAGAAAAAGGATTCTTACAGGTGCCTCTGCTTAGGAGGAGTGTAAATGTGATAACCTGCACCTTGAGGAGAGAGAATCTGTCAGTGTAGGGGATCGACAGTTATGTGTCAGTTATGAGTCAGATTCCATCCTTACACCGCCTTATAGCTTTGACGTGGAACACTTAACACCTGAATTCTTTCATTTGATATTCAATTTAAGGACAAAATATTGTTATGAAAAATGAGTGTAATAATAATAACAAACTTTATTTGTATAGCACCTTTTATACAAGTACTGCAGCTCAAGGTGCTCTACATCAGAAGACATAAAATGGGCATCACATGATAAAATAGCATGAAATAAATAAAATAGTATGAAATAATAATAGTAAGACAAAATACAACAGGGATTGTCATTTTATAAGTATGTTAGTGCACTCACCTGACCAGCATGAGACTCTGAACCCGGTCTGCAGCCAAAACCTCCATCAAAATTCATACAGGACAAGACGAACTCTACAGCTTTGTCAACATTTATTGTGTCCATCTTGCCCTTTGGAGGGAATGAAGACAAAGTCATCATCAAATGATAGAGTGTAGACTATGAATGTGACTGTATGAGTAGAGACACAATAATAAACATACCAGTAATGCAAGTGTAGCGACAGCACAGAAGGAAAATCTTGTATCTATTTCTCCTGTCAGGACAAACAACATTTTTTTTTATAACAAGACATTGTTGCAGGGTGAGTAGAATGCAGCTTTTATTTCTGATATCCCCATCACACTTGGTATCAGCTGACTTTTCAAACTGAACTATTGAAATAATTATTGGAAAGAAAAATAATTGATGTGTGAATATTTCTACATGTATCATCCAACACACATTCCAAAAATCACTATTTTCTGCACAGCCTGTGCAAAAGTATTAACATTTGCTTACAGCAGTTTAAAGAAAAGTATTTACATGTAAACCTTTGATTTCAAATGAAAACTATTTTTTGCTAAATTCAAGTGTATCAGTCCTTTCTTTTTTAAATACCATACCTGGGCTTGAAGAGCTGCTCTAAATTTCTAATCACCAGATGTCACTGCATGCTTGCATGTTTCAAGACTCTAATCTTTTTTGTATGAATGAACATATGCAGAAATTAAGTCACAATAACTCAGTCTTCACTCGCCTAAACGTACAGCCATCAATCTAAATAAATCTAGTCTTAAGTCAATACTGCTCACCCCATTTGTCCCCTGCAAATGAACCGTCTTCCTGCTGTAGTCCTTTAATGTATTCCACCACTTTGTCCACATCGATCTCATCCACACTGTCGTACAAGCACAGAATCTGAGGACGAGAATTCAAAAGCCCAGATAAGCCTAAATGTATGAGCTAAAGAGTGATCGAGCTCACCCAAAAAGGCACTTATTTAGAAGTTCCACTATCAGTTTAATGACAACATCTTTAAATCATAAAGGCCCTTTAAGAGAATTAAATACTGAAAAAAAGGCTACTTAATAAAAATGATCAACCACACAGGTGTTAAGGGACAAAATAGTCAAAACAGATTTGATCAAATTTTGAAATAAATCCAATAAGCCCAACATTTATTCTATATTTATATTTGACTTTCTGGCTCACGTTATAACAACGTTAGAACGTTATATAGATTGTAATATACTTTCCATTTTAAATAAAATAGCATTTAATCAATCTTAAATCACAGAAAGTATTTGTAACAATTCAACAACAATTTCAACATTTCACAGCCCAGACGATGAAGAGAAAACAGAATGAAGTTTGTCAAGTCCTGCTGACTGTTTAATGGACTTGAGTTTTCCATAGCACCTAATTAGACCTAAGTCTACTCAAAAAATGTTTTCCACTCCATGTAACATTCACCCATACACACCCCAATCACACAATGATGGCAGAGCCTGCTATGTAATGAAGGCCCTGACACACCAAGCAGTGTCCTACAGTATTAACTAATGCCCCAGGTCTAAGGAGTCACCTGAACGGCGCTGAGGGTGTAAAGCAGGTGGGGGTCGTGTCCGATGCTAGCACTGACGCCTCCACATTCATGCTGACAGGCTTTGATGAAGTCTATGATCTCCTGCCGGTTCATCCGGGGCAGCTGCGCCATCAGGTCCATCACTGTCAGACCCCAGTAGATGCCGCTCATCCTCAGGTACTCGGACAGCGTATATTCCTGAACAAAAACACAATCAGGACGTTTTCTAAAAGGAGAGCAGGACATGCTAAATCTACAGTTCGTGGATGGTTTTTACTACCAGTTTCTTTTCTATAAAGAATTAAAAAGTTTGTGAAGGATGCATAAAGGTGTACATAAAGGCTTTGCGTAATCTTTCTTATTGGTGGACAAATGACATGCAAAATCTACTCAAACTCAAGAAAATAATTGAGACTAGTGTGTGGCAGTAAAATATTATTAATGGGAAAAAAAACAAAAATTGAATAAATTGTGTTTTTTTTTTTCCTTAGGTGTACTCGGGGTGAAAGGGCAGCGTTTCCATCTCGCTTTAGGGATTTGAAACCTTTCAGCTACATGAACTCCAGTGAGGTTAGATACTGATGTTGGGGGATAATGCATTCTTACATCAGCTTTTCTTACTCATCAAAGCTGTTAAATAGGATTTAAGTCAAGCTGCTCAACACAATACTGGTCGAACCAAACCACGGACATGAGTATGAGTCAGTCTCAATATTCAGAAATGCACACAGACGGATTCACAAATGTATTTCAACGCACAAATACATTTCATTCTATATAAATGTGAAACAAATCCACAAATTAAAAAATAAGACAAATGTATTTCTGATTCACACTCAAATATTTGTAGTTTTGTATACATGTAATAGAAATCCAGAAATATATAAACTGTTCAGTCTGCTTTTAAAATAATAAGATAAGATAAGATAAGATAAGATATACTTTATTCATCCCAGCAGGGAAATGTAGGTGTTCCAGCAGCCAGCATACATACAAAACACACAACACAACACATATATACATACAAACACACAACACAACACATACATACATACAAACACACAACACAACACATATATACATACAAACACACAACACAACACATATATACATACAAACACACAACACAACACATATATACATACAAACACATAACACAACACAACACATATATACATACAAACACACAACACAACACATATATACATACAAACACACAACACAACACAACACATATATACATACAAACACACAACACAACACAACACATATATACATACAAACACACAACACAACACATATATACATACAAACACACAACACAACACATATATACATACATATCCCACCCATACAAAAAAAACATGAGCCCACAATACAGTTTGATACATGAATATATGCAACTCAGGCTAAAGTTTAAAAGTTTAAATTTTACAAACTGTTTGTCATTTGTGAACCTCATTGCAATCACAGAGACATAAGAATATTGTTTGTCTTTACTCACATAGTCGTCCTTTTTGGAGCCGTAGGCAGCGATGTAGTCTGCATGTTTGTCCAGCAGCAGTGAGTTGGGAGCGTCTGGTTTTACGATGACATCTTTCACTTGGGTGCCCTGTCATTAAACACATCAAATTATCACATTGTGCTGACAGTGAGCTACATGCTAACACCGGTGACAGCTACAGTTCAGCCATTCTTTTATCTTCTTTAACAGATTAGAGGTCAAAGTTAAGCTACATTTGGACACAGCAGGGACAGGCGGATATTTGCAATCACTTCGGCTTTAATGTTATCTTAAAATACATTGACTAACTGTAAAATTAAAAAAAACAAGACTCCAGTTACCATCATGAGTACTTTCGCATGATAATTCCTTTTTCCTTCTTCTTCTTCTTTGTAAGATTCTTCTGAGCGCATACCGCCCCCTTCTGCTCCGGGGTGGGAAATAGTTTACTGAACCTTCAGCCATATAAAACTAAAGAAAGTTTTTAGGAAAATAAAATAAACTTATGTTATGCTGCTTGATTATAATTCTAAGATATTTCTCTTCATTTGTATTTTCTGCTACTTCTACTGAACTCTTTACTCTAATGAGGATGGCTTCAACGTCCTCTTCCCCTTTCCATCTTCTGACTCTGCAACCTGCAAGTCATAACTGAGACTTTTACAATCAATGGAAAATCAAACCTGCCCTGTTTATGATATTTAGACAAAAGGGCTGAGGAGTACAAATAAAACAGAGATGCTTTTCCAACAACTCTTGAATCAGAAAAGAAAAAAACATTTTTGGTAAATTACCTCAACCCACCACTGCCCACCAATATAAGTGGGCCTTCTTTTACGCAAGTTCTGTATTCTGTTCCAGAACAAGTTCGGAGTACTTGTTGTTCTTTCCCCATATATTTTACTTTTCTATATTTTACTACTATATTTGTCTGAGGGCTTTTTTAGCTATACTTATCCACTAAAAGTGTTTCTTGGGAGGCGGCCTTTACCAATGGAAAGTCATGAACTGTTAATAACCATACAGTTTGGGTGGGATTGCAATCTATCATTATTGTATATTCAATAAAATATTCAGAGTAATTCCAAAATCAAATAGTTAAAAGGCGGTACATGCTCCTAAATATCTCACCCATACCCATGCAGTCCCTTAAAAATAATGAGTTAAAATATCTTAATCTAATCTTAATCTGGGGAATTGGTGGGATACTGAACAATATTCTTCCATTGGGTCCTGTTCCCCTCCTTCTGCTACATCTCCTATGGCCATCACAAACACATTAAAGACTCTTGTAGGGTTTTCTTTCACAAGTCAACAGGGGTAAAATAAAAGAGTTACAGATGGAGGTAAGCTTCCCTAATGGCAAGCTAATCAAATCTGCAACATGAGCATTTCAGCAGACAATTGTCAACAGAATCAAAAAATCCTTCATATCCTCAAAATGCACAAAAAAAAACAACCCCAATCAGTTCTAGCATGAATTGAACCTTTTATTTTATATGGCTGGAATACATAAAAGCAGAAGTTTCATTCTGTTACTGTGACAGCTTGAACATATTGGCCTACATATTACATCCAAAGTCCAGTCAAGTGGTTGAGAGGTGAAGTGTAACGCTTGCACCTCTCTATGTTGGATGGTGACAGTAACGTCTTAGGACCCAATTGCAAACCAGGCAGAAAACAATCTTCAGACAACATGCAATTTTACACTTATGAAACATACCGTTCCACACACGTTCCCTTTTTTTCCCCCTAAACATAGTCCAGAGATAAATGTTTTAGTCTCATGTAATAATTAAGACTGCATTCATGGTTTGATGTAGGAACTCACTTACATTTTTTCAAAGCATGTGTGGTAAGTCCTTAATGACAGCCAACAAAGTGTGATTTACAGCATGTTAGAGACAGATATGACAGTCTAAACAATATGTGCAGAAAAAAACAACAACAATCCTTGCTAGCATTGATTTTACTGAAATCAGATTGAAGACCAAAACACATTCTCAAACATTTAATATCCTCAACTCACTTCATTACAAACTAATTTATTGTGAGATACAGTTTGATTTTTCATGGACAACTGACAAGTAGTGTACCAGGTTGATGCTTAATAAATACACTATATATTTCATTGACATTAAACACTATACCCAGAGTGCTATCATAAGCTCAGGAGACCAGTCTGACTGCTATGTGCAACAAGCAGCAGCTGGAAGCAAGCAGATCATGGTCAACTTATTAGTCAGAAAACACAAGGCCTCAGTTGAGCTTCATTAAACAGGTTTTCAAATTCTGTTGACTGGTGGACTGCCGTCTACAAAATCTGGGTCTGATTTAAAAAGAAAGGCAGGATGAATTGATGTTAAGGCAAGCAATATTGAACAACTTTGTACTGCATTAAAAGACCTTTGTGTAGGATTCAGAGGTATCTACTCCCCCTTTCCAATTATGTACATGAGCGCCGTAACCGTAGAAACATGGAGGGCCATGTAAGAGGACATACTCTATGTAGCTAAAAGAAGCTCATTTGAAGACATACAAAAAAAAACAAAAAACATTATGTTAAGTTGATTATAAACTGATGAAAACACGTTTGAATATTTCACACTGATTTCTGTTCAAAGATACCCCTGAATCTTACAAACAAGTCCTTTAAGTTCTCAGATCTATTTCCATGGACACCCCTATGTGTACAAAAGTTACAACAAAGTACATTTCAATGAGGACAAGTCAGGTGAGCAGAGTTCATTTCTTGTGTCTTCCAAAGTGTTCTCGGGCGATGATGAGTCTTTGGATTTGAGCTGTGCCCTCGTAGATCTATGAAGGGGGAATGAGAAAGTACACATTAGAACATGAACGTATCCCAAACACCTTTACAGAACAGAGATTGAGTGCACAATATCATCCCCCACCTGGTAGATCTTGGCGTCTCTCATCAGTTTCTCTACCGGATAGTCGCTGTTGAAGCCGTTGCCACCAAACACCTGGACGGCGTCAGTGGCCACCTGGTTGGCGATATCTCCAGCGAATGCCTTGGCGATGGAGGCGTAGTAGGTGTTTCTGCGGCCCTGATCCACTTCCCAGGCAGACCTCTGGTATGCCATCCTGGCCAGCTCCACCTTCATGGCCATCTCAGCCAGGAGGAAGGACACAGCCTGATGCTGTAGAACAGGAAGAGACAGAGGAACCTAATGAGTTGGGCCATATTTTGTACTTTTTACACTGTACAGCTGGCGTGTCACCCGATTATAAGCTAATTGCCCTTTAAAAAAAGCATCCCACAGTAAACTCTGTAATTCAGAGAAATAAAAAAAGGACAGTTGATCAGTTTATAAAGATCAGGTAAATGGACTTCAGTTCATATACTGCTTTTCTAGCCCTTGAGCAAGGCACTGAACGTTGCAGAATGTAGCCGCCCAAATGCATGTCCAGAGGTCCTATTTGTGCACGAGTCGTGTGTGATGACACCGCATTGCCCACCTAACCATTCACTCACTAAATCCAGGAGCGGCTATGTAATGTGACCATCAGAAGTAACTAATCCCATTCATACGCTGCTGACGAAGCACGGGGAGCAATTCTGGGTTAAGAGTCTTGCCCAAGGACACATTAGACATGTTGCTGCAGGAGCTGGGGATCGAACCCTCCCAACCTTCCGGTTGAGAGATGACCAACTCCACCAATTGAGCCATAGCTGTCGAGCAAAGATAGTTGCAACTTGCATTTTCAATGCACCGGTCTACAACAATCTTTCCCTTGCCAGTTTACACTAATGGGACTTGGCGTGACATGGTCTGTTTTCTATACTTTTCATGGTTGAAGCTTTGAGCACAGAGCTGAAGGTCTGCCTGCTTGAAAGAGCGAGTCAGAGTTGTGCATACACACACAGAGCAGAGGCCAGAGGGGCAGCTTCAAGCCTGCTCTAACGCAGACTTTTGGTGAATCTTTGTTTTTACTCTGTGTGTGCAAGAATGCAGAGTTTGAATGGCGTGTTGTTGGTTTACTCTCTTGTGCTGTGAAAGTTTGTGTGTAAACAATCAAGTTCATTAACAACAGGGTGTGCCGAGGTGAACGCTTGTTTGTGCTCTAGGGTATAACTAACTATAACCAGAAATACCAGAACTTGACAAGATGAGTTGCAAGCAGGGAAACCAGAACACATCAAGTGCAGCGCACACTCATCTGGTCACATGCCTGGAAAGTTTGCAAACCGTTTTGTCTCTTCAACAAAACTTTGGCATATAGGCTTGAGAGAAAATAAAATTTGAAGTAGATAAAATGTTTTGCAGTGAAATCATACCTCAGCAATAACCTTTCCAAATGTCTTTCTCTCCAGGGAATAGTTGGTAGCTTCATCAAGTGCCCTCTGTGCCAGGCCCGTTGCTCCTGCTGCCACCTGCATTTCATTATAGCAACACATATTATGATAAACAAGTTCACATGTTTCTTTGTAACAGAATTTCTGTGTTATCAGTTTGAAGACTTACGGGTGGCCTCGTGCTGTCGAAGGCTCCCATCGCAATTTTGAAGCCTGATCCCTCTGCGATCAGGACGTTCTCCTTCGGTATCCTCACATCCTCAAAGGTAATGCCTCTGGTATCGGAGCACCTCTGGCCCATGTTCAGCTCCTACAAGCACAAACAATCACAAGGACATGATGGCATTAGGGCAGGTTTCTTTCCCTGAGTCATATGCCTTCTTTGTAAGATTTGAAATGTATAGAAACATCCAAACGGTAACAGATTTTACAGCTTTAAATTATTACCAGTTTAGATAAAACACAAAAAGCCTTTTTCCATAAAACTTTTCCATGGAGCTTAAAGATCCCAGATTATACTCAAATACACCTTTCGTGATGCCAGTCTGGGAAACCTAGTTGCTTTGCAGCCCCCCCCCCAAAAAAAAAAAAAAACTCATTCATCTTATATTGGCATCTGTAAATCCCCTTATTTCAGCCTCTGTCTGTAACAGTTTGTTTCAGCTGCTGTCCCTTTAAAACTCCCTTCCCATTGTGTCCAATTTATTATGTTTACCTCATGGGCTGAAACTATCCAACCACTTGATTTCCCTTTTAATTGAAATTTGATTTATTTGTCTTTTGACAGTTACACTTCATGATGTTTATAGGGAGCATGGGCTTTATAAAGAAAAAAAATGCTCTACTCAGGCTGAGGGAATATTTTGAACCACAAAAACAAAACCACATCAACTTTCAACACACCTTCCTTCCGACCATTACTCCCGGGGTGTCAGCGTCCAGAATGAATCCTGTAAAGGCTTTACCAGCAGGACACTTGGGATCCGGGTTAGTGCGGGCCAGGAGGAAGTACCTGGACATGTGAAAGACAGATAAAAGGTCAATCAGTACAAGATAGAGACCCAACTATTAATTATCAGTTTCCATTTTATTTGGTGTGTATAGTAAGAACTAATCGGTCGTATTCTCTCCTATAAAAACATAAGTCTCTAGCTTAACACAAATAAAAGAAAGTATTAGATGTTGGAATAAAAACAGACTGACAGATTCTGGACTACTAACAAGACATGTAAACAAATGTCCATGTTTTTTGGGGGATTTTTATGCCTCTAGCTAGAGACAGGATAGGGGATAGAGTCAAAAACCTGGGAAAGAGAGAGGACTGACTGGGGGAAAGGAGGTCAGATTCATACAATCTGCTTTAAGGACAATGGCCTCCATACAGGGGTCATGTGCACTAACCACTAAGCTACAGGTGCCCATTAAATACCCATATTTTTAGTACATTACATTTGAAATGCAGTATTACTGTCCTGTTTCAGTCACTGCATTTTGTCACAACTGACCAGTGATACAAAATGGGAGTAACTACATGTTAGGTTTAAAAAATAAATAAAAAGTAAGTTTGAATTAAAAGAGTAACATTAAGGAAAGCTTGAGCAGATCAGAAAACATGGTAAATGACCCTTATCAAACAAGTGGAATTAGAAATAAAGGCCTCCCTCAGATAAACAGTTAGTCTGCTTCAAACAAAAGACTGAGCCTATTTGATGGAGACACTATAATGTAGCTTATAAGATGATACATTAAATCATTTATTCCATCAACTATTTCTAATGTTCAGATTGTGTTCAAACTAAGGTGTTGTATCCGATGTTTAAGGAGTTGTTGAGCCAACTCTACAATGACTCCACAACAACCTGCAGCCTCCACACAAGTGTGTATAATATCATTGTACACATTAATAGTGAGTACATACCAGTTAGCTTTCCCTCCGTTAGTGATCCACATCTTCTGACCATTTACAACATACTCATCCCCCACTTTCACCGCTTTGGTCTTGATGCCGGCCACGTCAGAGCCTGCGCCGGGCTCTGTGACACAGTACGCCTGCCGAAAGAAGAAGTACACAGAGTGCTGTGATAGAAGCTGGAGCATCTTAGATTCTTTTTGCTGTGATAGTATCCAGCAGTAAAGTAATACTATGAACCATCAGGGCTAATAATCATTTACATTTCAGCAAACGTGTATGTATGTACAATTTCATTTAAAAAAGGAAACACTTACACACATGAGCGGCTCATCAACCAGCCTTCCCAGGTATTTCTTCTTCTGTGCGTCATTGCCTGCTAAAATGATGGGCATGGCCTTTGGGAGAAAAAGATAACATGTTTATAACTAAGCTACAACCACTGCTATTAATCAGTGTTAGAACTCAGGCTGATGTGATGTTGACATCAGGTAATGTCCTGTATGAGGTACAGCCCAGTTACAACAAAATAGCATTTATAGCCTTACAGGTTCACTGAAGAGCTGTATTTTCTGCTTTCTAGTCATACATAATAGATTTAAAAGATGCAACATGTTTCTTGACATGTGGGACTTACCCCCAGAGAATTTGCTTCGATAGCAGTCTGTACTCCTGTGCAGCCATAAGCCAACTCTTCTGTGATGAGGCAGTTTTCAAAGCTTGACAGGCCCATTCCACCTAAATACAAGAAGGGACAAACATTGAAAATACACTGCTCAAGAAAAATAAAGGGAACACTAAAATAACACATCCTAGATCTGAATGAATGACATATTCTTATTAAATACTTTGTTCTTTACATAGTTGAATGTGCTGACAACAAAAATTATCAATGGAAATCAAATTAATTAACCCATGGAGGTCTGGATTTGGAGTCACACTCAAAATTAAAGTGGAAAAACACACTACAGGCTGATCCAACTTTGATTTAATGTCCTTAAAACAAGTTGAAATGAGGCTCAGTAGTGTGTGTGGTCTCCACATGCCTGTATAACCTCCCTACAACACCTGGACATGCTCCTGATGAGGTGGCAGATGGTCTCCTGAGGGATCTCCTCCCAGACCTGGACTAAAGCATCCGCCAACTCCTGAACAGTCTGTGGTGCAACGTGGCGTTGGTGGATGGAGCGAGACATGATGTGCTCAATTGGATTCAGGTCTGGGGAATAGGCAGGCCAGTCCATAGCATCAATGCCTTCGTCTTGCAGGAACTGCAAGTGACTGGCAGTCACGCTACCTCTGGCGAGCACATAGAGGACTGTGCGGCCCCCCAAAGAAATGCCACCCCACACCATTACTGACCCACTGCCAAACCGGTCATGCTGGAGGATGTTGCAGGCAGCACAACGTTCTCCACAGCGTCTCCAGACTCTGTCACATGTGCTCAGTGTGAACCTGCTTTCATCTGTGAAGAGCACAGGGTGCCAGTGATGAATTTGCCAATCTTGGTGTTCTCTGGCAATTGCCAAACATCCTGCACGGTGTTGGGCTGTAAGCACAACCCCCACCTGTGGACGTCGGGCCCTCATACCACCCTCATGGAGTCTGTTTCTGGCCGTTTGAGCAGACACATTTGTGGCCTGCTGGAGGTCATTTTGCAGGGCTCTGGCAGTGCTCCTCCTGTTCCTCCTGTTCCTCCTTGCACAAAGGCAGAGGTAGCAGTCCTGCTGCTGGGTTGTTGCCCTCCTACGGCCTCCTCCACGTCTCCTGATGTACTGGCCTGTCTCCTGGTAGCACCTCCACGCTCTGGACACTACGCTGACAGACACGGCAAACCTTCTTGCCACAGCTCGCATTCTTGCCATCCTGGATGAGCTGCACTACCTGAGCCACTTGTGTGGATTGTAGACTCCGTCTCATGCTACCACTAGAGTGAAAGCACCGCCAGCATTCAAAAGTGACCAAAACATCAGCCAGAAAGCATAGGAACTGAGAAGTGGTCCCACCTGCAGAACCACTCCTTTATTGGGGGTGTCTTGCTAATTGCATATAATTTCCACCTATTGTCTATTCCATTCACACAACAGCATGTGAAATTGATTGTCAGTGTTGCTTTGTAAGTGGACAGTTTAATTTCACAGAAGTGTGATTGACTTGGAGTTACATTGTGTTGTTTAAGTGTTCCCTTTACTTTTTTGAGTAGTGTATAGTCACATTTAGAAGAAATGATTATTTCACATAAGATTTTTAGAGATTAATATTAAGCCTAGCTATTGTTTTTTTTTTTGCCATCATCTACAAGCCTGTGGGACAAGAGGTTAGCATGTCTTACCACAAAGGGGAAACTCAGGAGAGAAACTCTGATCATGGTGGATAACTCAAAAATTAAAAAGACAGAATTACGCACCATACTCTTGTGGAATGTGACCATTCATCAGACCGAGCTCCCATGCCTTCGTGATTAGAGGGACAGGATACTGCAAAATGATGGGAAGATTAACTGACCGTTATTCAAAGTTTTAATAAAAAAAAAAATGTTTGCTTAAAAAAAAAACAAGACATTACTGATCCCTAAAAAGATATACTAACATGTTCCAGCAGCAGAGAGTAAACAGATAAACAAAAAAAAACTCTACATGACGTAAATGAAATAAGATTTAAAAAAGGTGACATTGATACACATTACGAGAGCCTTTATTGAAAAAAGTTAATAATAATACATTTTATTTATAAGCGCATGTCAAAAACACTTTTTTTAACAATTGTTAAAAAACAGAACGAACAGCACAGTAAGGACAGACTAACAGACATTGCAACATTACACAAATCATAAAGATAACAATAAAAGGTCAAACTACAGAAAATACATCACAATCATACATTAAAAGGTTGTTTAAAGAGGGGGGTTTGGTAAGTGATTTGAAAGTAGGAGGAAAGTAAAATATTTGGTTAATATAATATTAATGGTTCAAATATTTGTGCTAAAGATGTCCAGAGGTGTTATGCTGACAGCCATGATGTGTAAGCTCTATGGAGTATTCACACATGTGCTGAAGCACACCTTATTGCTCTGGGGAGGGATAAGTCTTAAAACTACAAAGTAAAAGGTTTCTAGTTTTTTGGATGACCCAATCTGCTTTGGTTCTAGTTGTTTTCACAAGTTCTTTATTTAAAAAGGTTTATTTTTTTATTTATTTCTTAATTCTTTGAAAAATTGAGACTAGGCAAGGGGGGGGGGGGTGAAGCATGTGCAGGCACGGTAGCAAACACATTTCCTAGCGCGATTACTTTTCATAGCGCCTATATGATTTAACTGTTAAATCCAGCTTTATTTCACCTTTGATTTACACTTCCTGTTACTAATCCCTAGGCATTCTCACCTCACCACTTCTGTCATAAGCAGGCGCAGCAGGAACAATCTCCTCACGTGCAAACTTCCTCGCCAGCTGCTGGAACTCCTTTTGCTGCTCTGACATCTCTGTAGTTTAAAAAAAAAAAAAAAAAAAGAGACGAAGCGATGAGTAACTTAAACACACTTTATATAGTCGTAACTTTTTTACATTGAATACTGTTTGTGTATTAAAAGAATTATTTGGAGCGGTTATAATTTCTTCCACTCGATCAAGTGTGAAGAAATTGTTTCCTAAATAAAGTTGGATGTAAATGATGAAGAACAAAACACACAGACCTGCTTCTGTGTTCAGCCCACAGTTTTATTAGGCTTCAGCAGTCAAATCAAGTTGGTAATTTCTCTCTATTTTTTTGTCAAATATCCTCAAAGGAAAGATTATGCCATTAATGTAGGTATGGTTTTACCCTAGAAAGATTAAAGTTGCAATATAAGGCACTTGATTGGCAGCACCTTTTTTCCCCCCTTTGTTAATAATCACACTTTCAGTAGGAGGACATCTCTTACACCTAGTTAAGTTCAGAACATTACAATGAGGTAGAAGTCTTATTAGGTGCTGGGCTTGTGTTGATGTTATGAGGCAGATATAACAGAATGAACAGATCTTTTCAAAATAAAGTAAAGTGTTTACATCCTACTCACCAAATGAGAAGCCTTGGGATGCTGCATGGCCGCCGTGAGGGGCTGCAACACTGGCTGCAGCAGCATTGGAGCTCTGAAGCCGGATTCCAGAGCGCACACTGGCTCTGAGCACCTGAGCAGGTAGCGGGAAGATCAGCACAAACATTCAAAATAGGCCCAACAGAACATGGTAAAACCTTTTTAACCAAAGTTAAAAAAAAAAAAAAAAAGGTTATGCTGGCTCTACTGCCACAGATACAGGTTCTAACAAGCTGCGAGGTGATTACACACACACCTGTCCTTGCACTGACTTTTTAACTAAACACAATCACGCAAGTACTACACCCACTTTATAAAACATGAGACAGCTTCACAAAAGCAAGCAAAGGTTCAGTGGACTATTAAACCACATCTGTGTCACACAAGAGCCCTGCCATAACATCCAGACCATCAACAATAACACAAAGCTCTCCAATATCATCTTGTTCAATCCAATAACACCAACACAAACAATTACCTTAATGCAAACCCATCAACCTGAATAACATGCTCATGTAAAACGTAACACTGCAGGTTATGGTTGGTCTCGTGACACAACAGTCTTGACTGCAGCTTTTACAATATTATTATGTTTAATAGGCTGCACATGTTTAATTTCAAGTTAGGGGTGAAATGTGTAAAACGACCTGCTTAGCTAGTTGTTTTTCAGGGAGACAGCACACACACACACACACGAGTAAAACACAAGATATTGCACACTTTCCGTCTTGAAGTGTTAAAATGTGCAGGTATCGTTGAACTTGCGTCAGCTACCGTTAGCCGCTGACGCAGCTACCAAAGCTTTCACACTCGATCAGACGGCCAACACAATCTGCCACGAACCATACAAATCACCTTAAACTACAGAGATACGCCGGTGAATAACGTTTTAATGTCCAATAAATGCGCTTACCTTGTTGAACAGCATTGTTTTCTTTCTTACAGCAGTGCGAACACAGACTTCACCGCAATCTTTGTCCCAGATCTTAATATACGCCTCTTCAGCCAATCACAGCTGCGGGATTTGATCACGTGTCACGTCTCGGGGTCCGGAAAATGACTTTTCCCCTAGTTTGTTACCCAATGTAACCTTTGTTTCATAATAGAGTTTTTACCTTACAGTCTCTGGTTTTTACACTCAAAACTTCCACCAATAAGAGACAAGTAGTGTACGACAGGTAAACTTCTGTTCATCTGTTAATGCCCAGTAGTTTGATAACAGACTATAACTAACTTTAACTATATTAAAAATACAAACATGGAATACATTCAGATAGTAAAGGTAGAAATGCAAACAGAAATGCACTATACTCATTAATGCAACAACAATATTGGTCAAACACGGTTTTGTAGTAAAAAATATTACAATAACTTATTATATGGAAAAAATGATCACAATGTCATGATACAGCTCATCACCAGCAGGTGGCGTTACATACATTCAGTTTGTAGAACTACAGATCTGTGATGATGCTGTTGAAACAGAGCTGAACTCATGTGTAAGAGATGTATGCTGTTGGCATTTTACTCTTCTCCATTTCTATTCTTTATAAGAAAGGAAGAAAGACATTATTATGAAGCATTCTCAGAATACTACACAAATATATACCATGATTCAGACTCTGATAACATAGAAGGCAAAACACAGATATTCCTTTTAAAAACTACAACTGCCAACTTTGTCAAATGAAGAAGCCACTGACATGACACGGCCAATTTCATGTCAAGAAATATCCGACACTATAAAAAAAACTAAAAAATAATAAATCCTCTGGCACAGACGGGTTCCCAGGGGAATTTTTTTTATAAATGTCTCATAAATGAAGTCACGCCAGTATTATTTAAAGTCTTTAATTTTGCTCTAGCATCAGGTAACCCACCAACAACGTGGTCAAAAGCCTTCATTTCTGTCTTACATAAGGAGGGGAAGGACCCAACTTTATGTGCAAACTATAGGCCTGTTAGCTTACTATGTAAAAGATATTGACAGATATTTTAGAATGCAGAAAAAACATAAAGAAAATAATCAAACTGGACCAAACAGGGTTTATTCCTGAGAGGCAAAGTGCTAACAATATTAGGCGAACACTGAATGTTATAACATATACTAAGAATAACAGACAGAATACCATGTTACTCAGTCTAGACGCCCAAAAAGCTTTCAACCGGGTGAAGTGGAGTTTTTTATACAAAACTCTGGCAGAGTTTGGGTTTAACACAACATTTATAGATTGGGTAAAAATAGTTTACAATAACCCTAAGTCAAGATTCAGAGTAAATGGATGCTGCTCAGACTTCTTTTTCCTTAAAAGAGGGGTCAGGCAGGGAGATTGTCTTAGTCCATTACTGTTTGCTGTTAGTGTTGAACCCCTGGCAGAGTCAATAAGAATGAACAAATACATTACAGACAAAGACAAATTAAAGATGAGGGGGGTTTGGAACACAAAATATTGTTATTTGCAGACGACATATTAACCTGTATAAGTGAACCTTCCTCATCTATTCGAGCTCTATCAAATAACTTGGCTGAATATGGAGAAATATCAGGATATTTAATTAATGAGTCTAAATCCGTAGCTATGATGCTCTCAGGCAAATATTCAGCAGAACTAGAGAAGAAGGTGCATTTCAAATGGTCTAACAATGGGTTTAGATACTTAGGTATCATCATTAGCCCTGTCATATCACAGCTTTTTGAAGCAAACTATGGAAAATTGATTGGAGAAATCAAAAGGGATATAGCTAGATGGGAAATCCTGCCTCTGATAGGGAGAATAGAAACAGTGAGAATGAATATCTTACCAAGATTATTATTTTTGTTCCAGTCGCTGCCTATAAGAGTTCCCAATTACATATTTAAAACACTGGACAAGATCATATGAAAATTTATTTGGCAAAATAAAAAAGCTAGAATTAAGTATACTGTTCTTCTTTGCTCGAAGGAGAAAGGAGATTTAAATTTACCAAACTTAAAAAAGTATCACTGGGCAGCACAGCTCAGGGATAATATTATGTGGATAACTAATGACACAGATTCTATTTGGGTAGGAATGGAACAGAACTCATGTCCAAGGTTACCTTTAGCTGCTCTTTCCTTTGTGTCAGAAAAGTCTCAGAGGGGAGTTAAGATTATTAATGAATGCACTAGAGAAACGTTGAAAATATGGTTGATTGTATGAAAGAAATTAGGACTGTCAAACTCCACTTGTAGAGCGACTAAAATAGCATTAAATCCAGATTTTGTACCCTCCACTATGGATACAGGATACAACAAATGGGCAAACAAAGGTTTGGTTTATATAGCACGAGTGTATAAAGGACAAAACATGAAGTCTTTTGAACAACTTAGAAAGGAGTTTAGTCTACCTGCATATAAATTTCTACAATTAAGGAGTTATCTTCAGAACCATAAGGAATGGGATAAAATTAGCAGGGCACCCTCTGAAATAGAGGAAGTATTTATGTCACTTACAGAAAAAGATACAAAGAAAGGTGTTATTTCAAAAATGTATAAAGCATTACAACATGAATCTGAAGATAACAACATGAGGGTTAAAGAAAAATGGGAACTAGAAACAAATATTATAATAAGAGATGAACAATAGGAGGAATCATTCAAAGAGGGACATAAATTAACAAACAGTCCAATGTGGAGGGAGTTCGACTGGAAAGTCAAAATGCGATACTTTAACACTCCATCCATCACCTCAAAATACAGCAGAACTTCTGAGTTGTGCTGAAGGGGATGTGGACTAGTGGGGGATTTTAGAACATTTTTTGGGACTGCCCAAAAGTTGTAGACTTTTGGAAAAATGTACAAAAAGAAATAAATCAGATTCTGGGTATCAATCTAATCTTTGATCCTTCACTCTTTATTTTCGGTATAGCGCCTGATATCAACATGGACAGAGACTTGATTTCCTTGCTTTGAATTTTACTGTGGCTGTGGCTCAGTTGGTAGAGTTGCTGCCTCTCAACTGGAAGGTCAAGGGTTTGATCCCCAGCTGGGCAACATGTCCAATGTGTCCTTGGGCAAGACACTTAACCCAGAATTGCTCCCACTGCTTCAGTGGTGGTGTATGAATGGCATTAGTTACTTCTGATGGATGATACTACATAGTACACACTACCATCAGTGTGTGAAAGGGTGTGAATGGGTAGGTGTGACATGGTGTAAAAGTGCTTTGAGTAGTCAGAAGACTAGAAAAGCACTATATAAGCTGAAGTCCATTTATTAATAGCAAAGAAAACAATAACTGCATCCTGGCTGAAACCACAGCCTCCCAACATAAATCAGTGGAGACAAAGATTGAGAAATGTTTTCATCATGGAAAAAATCACAACCAGATTACAGCTGAAAACAAATAGATTTGATGTAAAATGGGCCCCAGTGATGCAGGTAATGCCTGAGCTCTAGTCACCTCTTAATATTTTTATTTTAAATGTTATTTTATTTATTTATTTTACTTACTTTTACTTAGTCGTTAGTCAATCAAGGAAAAAGGATTGAAAAACAATGTGAAGGCTGCCATATGTGTAATTATATTAAGTTTGTAAGTTTATGTCTATCTAATGTAGGTATGAAGGAAAGGGTGTGTATATAATAAATGTATGGATATGGATGTGTTGAGTTGTTTGGTAAAATGACACGTTCAGATTTCATGAGAAAATGGACAAGTGTAACTGAAAAGCATCTCCTGAAGTTGTGTTTTATCTGTGTACTAATTAAAAAAGATATTAAAAAGAAAGCCAATATTATTCAACCTACAAGATGTATATCAAGGGATCGAAAAGGGTAACTGTTAATGAAGCCATTTATAAAACAAGTAAGAAATTGGCAAAGATCCCTACATTTAGTAATGAAGTGCTGCTTTAAATTCTACCTTTCAGGTGTTCTTTCCTGTCTTCCAAGTACAGAGGGAGAAAATCATACACTAGACTAAACAATCTTATTTTATATTGTCAGAAACCTCTATTATTTGTTAAATTCAGATTTATTTGAAGTCATTGTATAGTGAACAAGGCTGTTGAGTTTATGTATGAGAATGGCAGGTTTATTGATCTAAAGTTGAACTACTTTCCTCAGTTCAATATTATTTGACCATCACGTCCTACTGCTTTCAACAAAAAGAAAACACTGATTGGAAGTTGCTCTTGAATTGGGACAAAGATATCTTATCAAGTAGCTACACACAGCTTTTTCCACTTCCAAATGTTTTTGAGTTTATCCTACTTTATAAAATGACCCTTTATCTTAAGGTATAGGGTCAATTGCTCTGATGTAGTGCGTTTCATTCACTATCAGTGGTCATTTAAACCAAGTGACGAGGACTCTACATTCAGTTCATATCAAACTGACAAAAAGTAAAGCAGACAGCATACAGTTTTGGGACGATCGGGATTTTATTGACGTATCAAACCGCTGTACATCTATTTGCCTTTCTTGGCCTTGATCTTCCTCAAGTAGAACTCGAGCTCCTTTCCCTCCAGGACGTAGCCGTCGGCTCTGCCACACTGGCCGGGTCTGGAGGCGATGCAAGCTGAGAGGGGAAGAGGACAGAAGTCAGTGAAAAATATAGATAAAATATAAAACTGTCTAAGAACCTCCTGAAATAGCCGAGGTTTAATCACTCATTTCCAGATAGATTCTCTCAAGTCTTTAAGACGTGTCATGTTTGTGCAACGATGAATGAACATTAAATGTCTCAGACATCCTCATCAAAAGAGATAGGTGATGTCGCTTTAAACTTCTAGACATCAAGTCCAAAAAAAAATGACTAATTTATGTTTGGATTGTTTGAGTTGACACTTTAGTAGACATCAGTGTGGGTACCAGGTCTTTCTCAGAGTCACGATTATCATCACTTTCATTCAGTAGCAGAACTGGACAAAGTTATCTTCATTGAAAGATGTACACCACACTACAATATGAATTAGTGACATGAAAATAAAAGCTTTTTCACTGGAGTAAATTAACATGTACCTAAAGCAGGATTTGCTATTTGAATGTATAAGAGCATAAAAACCTATTTGTGAGAATCTACAGATAAATGCATGAAGAAAATAAATATTGGTACCCCCCTTAAAATGTACTCTTCTTTCAAGAGAATACATAAACAAGTAGAAATGTCTAATAAATTGGGAGTGACTCAAACTCCTAACTATCCCAAAGGAATATATTTATTTATTACATCTAAAATGTCATTATTTTTTCAAATATTAATCTCACAAAAAACCATTCAATTGTGGTATAAGAAATCTTACTGGAGCTCGTCTGTATTCGTTGTTAATGAAATGAGCAGACTTTCTCTAAAATGTATTCTGATTACATTACAGGTTTGCACCAATTTGTTTTTCTTCTGTTTAATATTCACTTGAGCTCTCTGGCTCATAAACTGGAGTGTGAGATCAATACTAAAATATAGAAGCTACACAGGTTTAGTTGCAATGTGGAATCCAAGCAAACAATGGCCTGCTGCAGAAATACTGCAGTGTGATCTTTCGTAGTTATTCCGATATACACGCCTATAACAGCATGTTTAAATTAGTCACAGCTGAGGTTTTGAACTTCTGTGGTTCAATGCCTTAAATGTTTTCATTAATAAAATCAGAACTTAATATTTTAAAACCTAACCTGGCCAAGTTCAAACTCACAGCTGACTTTCAGGTACCAGCCAAGCAGTGGCCAAGTACATCTACCTCTATTAATGCATTTATTTTATTGGACAATGGAATTAATATGAAATCGAGGAGTCGGGAATGACGTGCAAAAAAGCCACAGGTCGGACCAGAACCTGGAGTGCCTTCTTGGAGGATTGTCCTCCGTACAGGGGAGACGCCCTAACAACTAGGCCAAATGCACGCCTCTGACCATGTCATTGAAGAGCTGCACATCAAACTTCAAGCCTTTACATGTTTAGACTCACCTAGCAGTTTTCCCTGCTGGAACTGCTCCTCTAAGAGGGTGCTGATCTTGGCAGTCTTTTTACGCTCATCGTACTTCTTCTGAGTCCTCTTTGACCTCTTCTTGTTCAGGACTTCTTCCTCCTCAGGAGTCTACAGAGAGAGGAGAGAATGTTATTCTTCAGAGATACTGAACACTTCAGTTCACAAAAAAAGAAAAAGTTAATTTGTATTTCAAAGTAACTGTGAAGTCAACATCAGTGTGGGTAACAAGGTCTTTCTCAGAGTCACGATTATCATCACTTTCATTCAGTAGCAGAACTGGACAAAGTTATCTTCACTGAAAGACATACACCACACCAATCCTCAAGGCCATCAATTTAGAATATAAATATCCTTGAGAGGATTCTCAAACTTGGTTCAGTTTGCTCGGATCCTGACTTAATTTTAACGTTTAAGCCTTTTGGCAGCAACTATCCTAGCACCAGAGTATATAAACAGATTGCAAAATGAACTTTGTGTGCGTCGGTGATACCGATCACATCTTAAGAAAATAAAGCTTAGAGGGAAATACAATTGCCCCACAACGTACCAGCTTGGCTCCCTTCTTGCGTCCCAGAGGAGTGGCGTAGTGAGCCTCGTACCACTGCCTGTAAGGAAGGCTGTCTACGAGGACTATGCAGTTCTTCACCAGGGTCTTGGTTCTGACCAGCTCGTTGTTGGAGGCATTGTAGACCACATCAATGATCCTGGTCTTGCGGGTGCAGCCTGTGCACAGAATGTAAAGTGTCATTAGTTAAAGAAAATTGAATTTCATTCAACCAGTAACATTGTTTTTATGAATCTGGAAAAGTATGCTGTGTGTCAGTACATGTATTAAGTCTGTCACCACTTGCATTCACAGGCAAAAGGACAAATAAACTCCAATGCACTGCTCATTTAAGAGAGTTAAAAAATAAAACTCACACTCAGAGCCCCATGAGAAGTTACCAACATCCAGCCTCAGAGCACGGTACTTCTTGTTCCCACCGCGGACCCTCACTGTGTGGATGCGGCGAGGTCCAATCTAATGAAAGGAGTTACATTTTAGTTCTAATATTAAGCATGTTAAGGTTCAGGTTAATTAAGAGTAAATTAACATTTAGAAAAAGCGTGTCAGAGTAACTATGACAAGTCCTAACATTGGCAAGTCCCAAGCATTTGAACCAAAACAGTCCAAAAAAAAAGACCTACCTAAGGTCGAGTTTTCATCACTCACGCTAAATCATAGGAAGTCCAGCTAGAGTCAGAAACCAATGTTTTATTTACCTTTGTGTTTGCGGGAGGACGTCCGAGCTCATACTTCCTCTTCTTGTGGTAGGGCTTGCGTTTACCGCCGGTCTTGCGGCGTTTATGCCAGTTATCCCGTGAGATACCTGAATGAATGAAGGAGCACAAACAAAAGGACTTAGAACATCACTTAACACACACAGATCATCACTGTGAAATGAGTTAATGCTTGAGTAATCAGTTCTCCAAGGTTGGTTTCCGCAATGTAATTTGGATTCCGCTATAAGAGTTTCATCATTTCACTCAAGCACAGTTAGATGTCTTCAGAGCCATGTGGTCTAAACTTTAACATAATCTCACCTAAACACTTCAGAGCCATGTGGTCTAAACTTTAACATAATCTCACCTAAACACTTCAGAGCCATGTGGTCTAAACTTTAACATAATCTCACCTAAACACTTCAGAGCCATGTGGTCTAAACTTTAACATAATCTCAAACACCATAAATGACTTGATTTACAACCAAATCCTCAAATATATTAAACGACTTAGTCAAATGCTGAGATGAGGAAAACTATTCTTGTTTAAACGCCAGTTTCAGAAAATAACCTCACAACTTGTGTAGTAGAATAAACTGAAATGGGCAGACTGGTCTGAAGCTTCATGTAATACCAGAGGCCCAGCATGGAGCCAGCAGCATGCACCTCAGCGGGGCAGAAATCTGCAAATTAACTCATTTTCACCCACTTTAAGCATGTTACAGTCTGTGTGTACAGCTACACACACACACAACCTAGTATTAAAATCACAGAATTTCCGTTTTAGTGCTCCAGTGCAGCAGCGTGCCACGACCACTACCACCTGACTGCTAATGCTAATGCTAACACAACCCAACTCTCCTGCAAACTCGATTAACTTCCACTAATCTTCTTTAACATAACGCAACATTAGGACGAAGCCACATATCACAAAGAACAAGGAAATCTGCTTGTTTTAAAGCACATTTCAGCTTTCAGCAGGTAACTCCATGAGCAATAAAGAGCAGCCATCTTGGGAGCACATCAGACATCTTTTTTTCCAAATTACTTCTTTAAAGATAAATAATCTAGCTGTAGACCGAAAAGTTAACCCTGCATACAATCAAGAAGCATTAAGCTACAATTTGTCAAACCATTTTTTGGAATATATCTTCTTTAAAACACCAGATGGACAAGGATTCTCCCTCCAACCCGAGCATGAAAACACGTACCCATTCTCAGGCGCCGGCTAGAAAGAGGAATCGCAAAGGCTCATGGGGAGGTTTGAACCCATTTGCTCTCGCGAGAATTCACTACTAGACAAACGGGACTTTGTTCAAGTAAGTCCCTGACAGTGAATTTGTTGTTAGGAAACCCACAATAATAAATTAATCGAATACTGTATATAATGTTCTTCTTCAATTGGCACTGGATGGTACATAACATGAATAAACCCCATTTAATAAATTAAAATATTTTAATGTACATCATCGTAACAGAAGATAATCAATATAAATCAATCATTATTTACCAATCGCCAGACAAAAGCAAAAACAAAATCAACTTCACTAATACAATTAGCTTTAACCGATTCAATTATGCTTTTTTAAGTTTTAAAGATAACTTTCGTTTCTGTATTTTTAGGCTTATGTGAACAAGGAAATATAAAATGTAAATTTTATTTGTGCTATATTTTATTTCATATTCCTCCTGTATTCTACTATTATTTTTGTTATAATTGTTTTTTTTATTTATTTTTTTATCCTTGGTTTAAGCAAGTGCAACCGACTTTTTTCAAGATCTCTTCTTTAGGGTTTTCCAGCAGCAGTTCAAGTAAAAAAGGAAAAGAAAACAACACCTGTTAATACAGAAACAGTTACACATCCTTTCATAATTACACTCTTTCAATTGTAAGTGCTTCTTTTTGAAGTTCAGACCATAGTCTTTTAGAATCACCATATGATACCTAGTGGGACAACTTAGCTGTCATTTGAAATATTATTATTAAAAAATAATATATTAGGTGCAGCAGTAATATTTAATGACATTATTGAAATGCACATTCATTACATATTTGGATTAGCTATTTATTCAAAAGATATTGAAACATAAGGCAAACATTATCAGAAGAATTAAAACCTGTTTATCAATTACATTTCATGTAAATAGCTATTGAAAGGTAATTCAATTCACTTTGTTATCCGCTATTTCAAAGTCATTAAGCTCTTGGGTCATCTTTAGAATTATTTTATTATTTATTATCCAGTTTAATAATTAATGTAAACATTTCTCTTAATGGTGTAGCTTTAAATCTTTTCAGTAAGTCAATGCCACTGATTCGTTCAACACAGTCTCTAATATGAAGTTTCATAGCAGTATTTAATAAACAACAAACAACAATATCCTCTTTCCATATAGTTCTTTATTATATACAGCTAGGATTAATTGGCAGTTGTGCAGATATCGTGATAAACTTGGCAAGCTTTCTCCATTCAACAGTGATTTGCAGGGTTTGTTCTGTGAAGCAGCAGAGAAATCACTCTTCCCACGGGCTCATGTCTGTGTCAATGGCTACACAGTTGTACGCGGCATAACGAAGCTTCTCCTCACAAACCTTTGCACTGCAGAGGAGAAAAAAACAAGAAGAAATTAAGGGATTTAAGTTGATTCATGCAACATGTCACTAAGAAGAAAAATATACTTCATAGGAGTTAAAAAGATTATATTTTTTGGCTTTCACATCATGAAACCAAAATCAGATGTGTGTGGCTCTATAAACAGTACATTTACAAACAACTATATTTCACATGTAAACCATTATTATCACACAGTAACAGATTCTGCATATATACAACAGAACAGTAGCGTACCTTGGGTAGTTAGGTAAATAAAGAGTACTGGAACATGTGGAGGACTGTGGAAGTGCATCTGTCGTTTCAGAGCTAAATCAAGAAAAAGACATTTAAACCAAAAGACAAGAAGTGCTTTGTGAGTTTTGTGAATGAGGTATTTTTCTACATTTCAAAAGTACTTTTATTCTGTGATCATTTCCATTTTTAGGGACGCACTCACCCTTGTTTGTCAGGGAAGACATATATAGGAGCGGGAAGACGACTTCTACCAGTTACAAACCTCAGAAACCTGCTGCGATCCTCTGAAAACAAAATTCATCGTCTTTGTTAGTAACTTGGTGCTCTCTATTAAAATCAGAATTACGTAGATTGGATATGTTGTATTTAGTAGACTGACCATTGGTGAAGTTCGTCAGTGCCTCCCATAGGTATTGCACTCTCACATCACTTTGTTCAAGGTCCTCATAGCGTGCTGGTAGAAGACGAGAACGATATTAATGCCATTTAACGACAATCAAGCTCCTCTGACAGCTTTACCTCTCACCACTTAGCTTCTTAAAAGGCTACCTTCTTCATATTGGAAAAAATGGCAATACACAAGTGGGACACTCACTGAGTCGTTTCAGGGCTTCCACAGTGATCTCAGGATCTCCACACACTTTCTTCTCCACTTCCTGCCAGGTGAGAAGATCCAGCACCGCCTGAGGGACCACCTTCAGCAGCCCCGCCTGCATGGCTGCAATCTGTAGCACACCATCAGATAATCAGGCACCATAATAACCTGATATGTTTATACTAAAGAATGAAAAAGCTGGAGTGAAAGAAGTTCTAGTCTCACCTGCTGCCTGCTCTCCTCCAGCCGAGCCTTCTGCACCAGACGGACGAACTCGCTGCGGTCCTCGTAGCGGACGGCCACATTACTACCACCGGGGATAAGCTCCACCATCTGGCCATCGCTCAGCAGGGTGGTGTACACCAGCTCCTCGCCAAACCTGAAATCAAATGTCTCCTGGTCCATGTTCTCCATGGCCTCCAGCAGGTTTACCTAAAGACACATCCAAGTTTGACTTGAGAAATGAGGAGGTTAAGCAAATATTGGGGCTGACGTGCAGTAAATGACTCAACTATTTAAGCGCCAAACAGAGACATTTTAAAATACCAATAGTAAAAAAGAATGGCATTATTTTAAGAAAGATTGTGTAGATTCAAAGTGCTGTACATGTTTGCAATTCTCTGCAGTCAGAGGAGAGGTTAGATATAGTTTACTCTTGGTTTCATAATTTGAATATCCTCACCAGCACAGAGTCTACAGCATGGAAATCTTTACTCCAGCTGACTGCCTCTCCTGTCAGCTGCTTCCACACCAGCCCAGGCAGAGCCAAAACCTGCACAGCATAAAGTCAGAAATTCAGGTTTCTAAATCCACTTAATCTCACTCAATAGAAAGGTTAACATTAATCAAGAGCTGTTGGGAGGCAAGCATCCCTCACCAAGAAGTCTTTTCCTCTGAGAGCAGCTCCCATGAGCTGACCGATCCACTCGTACTTGTGGAACTCTTTACAGGACGGGTTAGGGACGTAATAATCTCTGGCCTCTAAGGAGCCCTGAGACACCGACATAAGACAGATGAAGACAAACAGATGAGAAAGATGAAGAGCAGTCTACTTCTGACTGTGTGCAGGCAGTGCTTGGGGTGTTTACCTGGTTGGACGTACGACTGAAAAATGGCAGAGGCATGGGACACTCAGCTGAGCTGGGGCAGAGCTCCTCAGACATGTCTGCCAGGCTGTCCCGAAATCCCCCTCCCTGGTCAATGATTCCCTCTGCAATGAACTTACATTCCCACCACTGGTCATACCGAGCCGGCCACCTGAAGGAAAGATGGAGGATTTAAAGTTTAATGTCCATCATAATCACATAACAACTATCCGGCATAAGAGCCTGAGACACAATCTAATATTACACACCTGTAATCCAAAGTCTTTCGAATTTGTCAGATGGCTTAAGACCTTCATAAACCTGAAAGAGGAAAAATGTATTTTTATAAAGAAACAGTAACAGCATCCAAAAGGCATCAGAGCCTGTTGGATGGACAAACAGATTGAATCTGAATCATGTCTGTCCAAAATGTAACTTTCTTGTCATATGGAAGTTTTTTTTTTTGTGAATTTTGCGTGTTATATCAGAAATAGAATCATCAGGACTAGCAGTAGTACCAGAAGAAGAGATTTTTTTATTTCAGAATAATGCTTGTAGAATTATTGGATAATAGACCTTATACTCATTTTGCTTTTATGTGTCTTACATGTAACACTTACATGATATCACAGAAATATTCATAGTTGTATTAATACCCTGAATCTGTACAGCAAATAATAATTTAAAATACAAAGACATGAAGTAAAATAGAAGTGCAGTATTTGTAGTAAAATAAAC